CTAGGCGCTTGAGGGATGTGTTCCTTACCTCTGATTTCAACTTTAAAGTTACATTCACGGCCGACATTTCCAGCACTATCAGTGGCGATAATACGGACTACAGTCTCGCCAATGGGAAATTCTTGAGAAGGCTGATGACTAGAGTCTACAGTTATCTTTGCATTGGGATCCACAATCTCAGAGTTATCTGTCACCTTGATGCTCCATGATACCTTTCCTGTTGCTTTTCCTTTGGTGGTAACTCCTCTTATTTTAGAAAGGAGACAGGACATTCTTGGAGGCTGGCGATCTATACATGTACATTGATTTTTAATTTCAGACTAAAACAAGTTGAAAGAAAAGTGGTGATTAATCTCATATATGCTTATTTGTGTGTGTTAAAAGCACTTACTTAATGAAAAATAGTCCTAGCTGGAGAATGGTAAGTGCCTTCGAATTTTAGCTGACAAAACAGCCAACATTTCGCGAAGCCATCTAAGGAACGGGACCAGTAACTCCAAATAGATGCTGTGTCACTACACTGATCTGCTGATTGGTTGAATTTTTCCTTTAACCAATCACAAGCGTTGCCCGAGCTGGGAAGTGATCAGAATGGAATTGCGCACTGAGTTTAGAGGTAGTTCTCCCAGCGTCGAACGCAAAAAACCCGAACAGGGAAAAGGAAATACTTACCGAAAAAAGAAATACTTACCGACGCAATTAGGAACTTGAACGTCCCATGTACCATTATGCAGACACCCTAAATAAGTTGTAGTTTCATGTAGTTCATCATCAGTAAAGTACCCGTCAGGACAGCGAAATTGACACGATCTGCCAAATTTTATTGGCTGGGTGACACACTCCCCGGGTTGCACAGATGCAAACTTGACAGGCGAAAGTTTAGGGCAGTGAATTGCTAAGAAAGAAAGCGGATAAAAATAAAGATAAATCTTGCCTCGCCAAGGGCATGAACTACTGAATTGAAAGCTGAACCACTCAGTTTTGTATAATTCTAAAACCAACTCAGTTTTTTAACTTCGTAGGTTGCGCGAAAGACAAACTGCATCAATTGCCCAATTAATTTAGTTGTATAGGCCGTTTGCGCTAAGAAGTCATGTGACATCACTTTTATGAAAATGAAATTTATACGATTTTACCTGCGAAAAACGATTAGTGGGTTATGTTTTAAACAAAATAACAGTGATTTTTTTTTTTCTAACCCGCACCATTTTTTTTAAAATGAGTAAGTTCGTAGCTGGTCAAGTAAGAAGTGTGATTTTTAAACTAATGAATTACCTCTTTCTGAACACAAATTTGGCACTTAAATTTCAAGGAAAATGTTGAAAAGATGATGTGGTAACGTTTACAGCACATCTGAGCGTCACCATCAAATGTTTAACAAGATGTAAGCAAAAAGTAGTTTTGGCCGCCATGTTGGAGGGCAAAAGTATGCCCTCCAACATGGCGGCAATACAAATCATTCTACGTCGTTGAAAAATCAAAGTGCCATAAAATATCTACGTTAAGTGCGTATCCTCTCAAATTTCGGGTGTAAGAGATTTGTGTAAGTTCTGTCAATTTCTGACATTAGAGCAAGATTCCAGCTCGTGTTAGTCACGTGACCTCTCAATGCATGTGGCCGGGCCTACCGGGAGTATTCTTCGTTGTTTGAGTAGACGCTTAGTGATCTTAAATTAAGGATGGATTTATTTGCAGCATTGACGCGTATAGCCGTATCATTTGCCCCGTGCATAGTTAATAAAGTGCAATGAAACCTGTTAGAATTCTTTGTTATATGCATTGTTGGCTTTTTTAGACTTCGGATCGTGAACAACATTTAACAGCGCTCCTATTTTGAACTTACAAACATCACATTTATTGCCAACGAGGCAACCGAGCTAAGAAGCGAAATTGCCTCGGCGGCATAATTATAACTCCGCGCAAAGTAGGCAAAAACTCTCAAATTCTGCGTAACCCTTTGAAATTTGCATTTTTTACCATATTTGGGAGTAAGTAAGGTTTTATATTTGGGTATAGTGACGTCATGTCCTTGTATTTACAACTCGTGGTCGAAATTGGGTGATTCAGTGTGCAGTTATTCCTTGTCTGTTCAAGAGGACCTAACAGGTGAGCAAGCTTTAATACAATTTCTAGTTTGAGAGGGCAATAAGTGCTCTGATTTGCTTTATAAATTGCGTTTAAAGCAGCAGCCGATCAAGGAATAGGGTTTTACGCTCAAATTTTTGTCAGAACCAGCTTGTTCTTTGCAGCTCGATTTACATTGAGGTAGCGTGTTCGCTTCTCGACTCAGAACCAGGGTTTCAGTGTTCTCTTTTCCTTTCTGAATTGAATTTTAAGCGGTAGTTGATCAAGGCATAAAGTTATATTCTCAAAACTTTTATCAGAACCAGCGTGGTCTTTGCAGGTCGATTTACTTTGACCCAGTCCTCACCTCCCGTGAATAAAACGTATTTGCAGACATTTGTTTTTTAGAAATTATTTATGTCTTTCGAGAGATTTTATCAACCAGCATGCTTTTTGCAGCTCGATTTACATTGAGACAGCCCTAAACTCCCGTGAGGAATGCATCGAATTTGCAGACCTTTTGTTTTGAAGACTATCATGATGCCTTTTGAGAGACTCTTTGTCCCGTGACACTCGCTCATTAGATCTTTGCATTTTATTCAAGTTTATATTTTTATACCTCTGATACATTCCGTCCCATTCTTGCGCTTTTGACGCATTTTACTTTACACCAATTTTTTCCTATCTATATTACCACGCGAAATATTTTTCTTATCGCTGATGACACTGTTGCTCAAAATTTAATTATTATTTTTAATTTCAGCAATCAAAGGCTTCATTTTGAACTATATTTTTCTTTCTACGTTTCTAGTTTTGATACAATGGAATTTTCCATGAAACAAGTGTTAACTTGCTCATATTTACCAACAAAACTTCAAGCCATGTTGTTATTGTTTAATAAAAGTGAAAGCCTAGAATGTGCCAAAGTTGTTGTTTCAAAGTTGGGTGCCATCCTTTTCTACAGCGGAATCCATTTTAAACGTCTAAATTATGAAAGAAATCGCAAAGATCTCAATAGGCACGTTCCACAAAAGATAAACGAATTCGCCTCGTTGGCACTTGCCGAAAGCTGGAACCCCTAGTTTATTCAGTCACAATTTGTGAATAAAAAACAAAGATTGTGCATGGTCAGGAAGCTTCTAAGGTCCAACATAAACTGGCCCAGCACCGTTGTTTTCATCTTCGATGTTTCCCGGCTTTACAAACAGTCTCCTCTACAAATTATGCCACCTGGAACTTCCAATTAAGTTCCAAAAATAATGAATTTCAACTGTTCATTTTGAGAGCAGTAAACCAGTATACTGCAAATGCATCCACGCTACATTTATTTTTAAAATTTAAAACTGAAATCCTTAAAAGAAACTGTTTATTCCGAGTAAACGCTCATCCAAACTGAGCTTTCTTCCTCAAATAAACGGGGCAGTGTAAAATGCAGACTGCAGACTGCAGCCTGACTGCGGACTATTGTTTTTAGGGTTAGAAAACAATGGGACTATTATTGTCACGTACTCATTTGCATGTTGAAAACAATAGTCCGCAGTCTGCACTTTACACTGACCGCCAACAGAACACATTTTATTATAAAATTTATTTTAGTCGAGTCACNTAAGTTCCAAAAATAATGAATTTCAACTGTTCATTTTGAGAGCAGTAAACCAGTATACTGCAAATGCATCCACGCTACATTTATTTTTAAAATTTAAAACTGAAATCCTTAAAAGAAACTGTTTATTCCGAGTAAACGCTCATCCAAACTGAGCTTTCTTCCTCAAATAAACGGGGCAGTGTAAAATGCAGACTGCAGACTGCAGCCTGACTGCGGACTATTGTTTTTAGGGTTAGAAAACAATGGGACTATTATTGTCACGTACTCATTTGCATGTTGAAAACAATAGTCCGCAGTCTGCACTTTACACTGACCGCCAACAGAACACATTTTATTATAAAATTTATTTTAGTCGAGTCACATTCCAATACCTTCACAAATCTTTGGAATTCCAGACCAAGTTTTGTCGAGTTGACAAACACGCTCCTTGGAACCTTTAAGCCGGTACCCACGATCACATTTAAAGGAGCAGCGGGTCTTGTAGCGCGGGACATAAGGAGCTGATGAACACACTCCAGAAGGTGGATTGGCGTTAGATACATGAACTAGTGGACATCTAATAGCTAAGAATAAAATAGAAGATACACGATTTATTGCACGTGTTATAGCTAAATCTAAAATATGTAAGGAAATGGTAGTAACTTATTCCTTCAAGGACATCATCATCATCAACATCATCATCATTAACCTCATCATCATCAACGTCATCATCATTAACGTCATCATCATCATCTATTTATCCGACATAATTTTGAAGAAATCAAATCTATTTGTCTTCCTGAAATACGAACATGCACAATAGGCCTAGGGTATTTTGGGCAATGAGGCCACCAAAAATGTGTAGGGTCAGCTTATAAAAACTTGAGGGAGGTTGCCCAGAAAAAATTAAAAGCCTGTCCAGTATATGTGGATATTAGTAACCATTAAATAGTACTAAGAGTAATGAGTGGAAAAACTGGCGATAAAAAAACGAAAAAAAAATTAGAATCAACTTCTGAATAGCTCTCCCTATATCTTCGATATCAATGGCTTAGGGCATTAGGATCACTATATGTAGTTATTAAAGTGGAATGGTTATGAAAGCCGTTCGACTCCTTTGTTATATGTTAGCTTTTTTGGACCTGACCGTGCACAACGTTCAATAGCATTCCTATCATTTTGAACTCACTGACCAATAGAAACATCGCATTAATCTATTTAGTCACAATTTGAGAGCAAAAAACAAAGGATTGTGCACGGTCAGGGAGCTTCCAACATGAACTACAGCACCGTTGTTTCAACTTTGATGTTTGCCGGCTTTCATAACCAGTCTCCTCTACTAACTATGGGATCACATGACTTTTATCTTACGAGAGCAATAAAAAAGTCCTCCTGTCCACTCCATGTGATTGTTTTTATTCACGATGCACTTTCTGTCCGCATGCGCACTTCCTCCTTCTAATTCATAACCTTCGTTACATTTGATGCGGCAAACAGAGTTGTATTCAGAGTTGCAGATACCAACTAAGAACCCATTTATTGGAGGGGCAAACGGATCACAAAGTCTTACTGTTGAGAATAATAAAGCACATTATTAAAAACCGAATCATTGGATAATGCAATTCAAGGACTCTGATTGGCTTAGCCATCATAGTATATGAGCTCCAAATATCGTAACTGTACCCAGTACGCGTCTGCTCAAATTTAAAAACAAGCTGAAAACCGGTTGTTTTTACAAATAAAGTCGGGAATAATTCTCGATATTTTGTGAGCGTTTTTTAATAAAACAATTATTCCACTCGCCCTTGCTGAATATGAGATGATTATAGCCAACTTGGCGCTATGCGCCTCGTTGGCTATCCACCATTTCATATCCAACGCGCACTCGTGGAATCATTGTTAAATAGACGCCGCAGTTAACAAATCGTATATCAAAAATGATACGTTCTTTGTAATTCAGTAGGCAAGGAGGGAAAAGTCTAAAGCAAGTAACGGCTATGTAAAAGTAATAACGTCGTTATCAAATGGTGAAACTGGAAGGTAGCTATCAGGGGAGCGAAAATATAAATGTGGGGGGAAAACAGATAAAATGAAGTAAAGTAGACAAACTGCAAACTTCTTTCTTACTTGTGCATGGAATGTCCTGCATTGGGTCCCCTGAATACCCTTTCAAGCATTTGCAGTCACTAAAAATATGACTTCCAAGAAGATTGTGACCCGAATTTACCGGGCAAGGCTTACAGGAACTTGCAAAGCCAATGTAATCTTTGTATGTGTTATGTGGACATTCTAACATTTCATGGGAAAAAAAAGATATAAATAAATTAAACCCAAAATTAATTTTTGAGTAGCTAGAAAGCAGGGGAATTATGCACTGTGCAGAGATTAATACTGTGGGCGTCCGCTATCCATTCTTTGAGCAACCAGGACCTGATTTAGAAAAGGCTCAATCGCTCGATCCAAAGGAAACTTTCATGTTAGTTTGGTCAGTATCCTTTAAATCACAAACACGCGTGGAGGCACGATAAAATAAAAGATTTGAGGAAAGTTTTTGTTGTATGAACCATATCTGAACTATGAAAATAAAGAAAGAAAGAATTTGTCTCGAAATCTGAGAGAAATCCCTGCGCCAAGACAGAGCGCCCAGACATTAATCATAAAGCTTTCAAAATTATAAGTCTCGGTCACGAATTTTGAAAGCAGTTTCTCACAGTCTCTCAAAGTCTCGAATTCACCGTACTATACCTTTTCATGATTCGCTCTGAGTGCCAAACGTAAACTACTCTGAACTTTTATAAATGTGCATGGATAAATTGTCTTTGACCATTTAAGTATGGGCTGGCATCCCTCGTTGTTTTTTTGTTTTTTTTACCCTAAGGTTTTGTAAGTCTACTAAGTTGATGACCAATAAAATGCGATTTGGTAAAGCTTCTCAAGGTGTCAATCCCGATCCCTTTTAAGTCACGATGAATATAAAAAAAAAATCTATACAATATTACACGGACGCTTTGCGATTTCCCCTAGCTGATATGGTTGGCAAAGCATATGGAAACATGAAAAAAAGAAACAACTCTCTCATCAGATTGTCATCAGTAAGACCCTAAGTGTCCAACTGAGCATGGCAGAGACCGAAAACAACGCAGCTTCCGAAGTACGTCAGAAATCCTTAGGCTATTATATTAGGTCGAATAACAGACCCACCTCTACATGCTTGCCCTTTGGAACCAAAGAACCCAGCGTGGCATGGCACCTGAGCGGAGCAACAAGTTACTAAACACGCCAGAAACACCACTCCCTTAAACATGACTAGACTTCCACTCAGCGGCTTAGTAAGAAAATTAAAGCTGCTTACAGATCAGTCTACCTTGTCGTTTAGCCTTAACGCAAATGAAGCAGTACACTGTCAGTTTCATAATTAAAGTAATAAATTTTAATACTCGATATGAGACTCAACAGGTGGGACAACAATCTTTGTACACACTCCTTTGAGTATCCACACCAAAAAGGAATTTCAACTTGATTCCAAGAAAAAAATGAACTACAGTTGTGAATATCATACTATTAGTATAAAAGTGACTTCGTTATGGCGCTCAAGGACCAACTTTTGACACAAAAACTGAAGAGATTAAAACATCTCATTATCTCCCCATAGCTAAAAGCCTTTTATTATAACGCAAAATGGTTTGTCTTTCATATGAATTTCGTCAGGTGAGAAAACACTTTTGACTCATAGTATTTTTTTAAAATGGAGGCTGACAAAGCATGATTTGTACTTTTATCCGGTCTAATATATCCTAAACAAATATCGGCATCCACCTCTTTTTAAATTATATCTTAACTTACATTTGAGTCCCGAGCTTCCCTTTTTTTTAGAAAAAAGTATTTATATGCCTTCTGTTCTTTGCTTAAAAAACTTTAAAATTTTTCTCTAACTATTAATTATTACATTTAACTTTAAAAACCTTAAAATATATTAGAGTAAACCCTAGAGCGGAAATATCATAATTTATTATAAAGAAATATCATAATTTAATCATAATTTATAATAACATGAGTCAAAAAGGGAAAAACGAAGGTTTTAATGTCTCCAAACAATTTACTGAGTTAGGTTCCAAAATGAGTTTACGCTCTCCTATCTTCTAAGTTATTTGAGATTGAGGGGAAAATTGATTGATTTGTTATGGCTTGTTGACAGATCTTTGTCATCTTTATTAACTGGACTCCCTTGCAAATTATTGTTAGCGGTTTTTAAACAAAGTAGATGTTTAACATTTTTTCTTCAGCGTTCATAGTGATATTCAAAGGATCATTTTACATGTTTCATGATTAAATCAACTTTAGCGATTCATTGCAATTGTGCACAATTGATTTCAGCTATTTTTTAATCCGCTGTCAAAGTGATTTGGGTATCCCTGTGCGGGTATGCCTGTGCCCAAATCACCAGTAATATGGGCATCACTGTGACAGGGCGTCCAAGCGGCTTCCGCTCTCTCTCCACCCTAAACATACTCGCAGGCAGGCAATGATTTATCACAGCTGATAACATTTCAGTGTTCACGGTTTATTGATTATGCCAACGCTAATACATGCAGACTTGCAGCAATGCTTTTGATTAAAATAAGGACGTAAATAAAGTGCGTCTTTAGCGACCTTTATACTCGCTTCAGTTTGCTTCAAAACCACTGGAATCAACCTGTCATTAAGAGAAAACAAATACATACAAAGTTTAGTAAAAATATAACTCCTTCACCTCAGTTTACTTTTTACAAAGCAAGATAAGGAAATAATTATAAAGCTTCATTTTGCCGCTTAGACGGTGCGTCTAAACTAACAAGTTCGTAATTCCACAGTAATACGAGCTTCTGTTTGCTGTGTGAGCTGTGCTTTGTTAGGAGGCCTATGGTGCGATGTGGTACAATCCAGGAGGATGGGGCGATCACAATTATATCAATGGTTTAGTTTGGTTTCCACATAATCAGGGGTCTTGATAGTTGTATCGCTGACAGGATTTGAGATTTACCTTTAATCCCAGCAGAAACGAAGATATTCTGCAAGCATGCGGGGTCAAACCGGCAAAAGAAAGGAGGAACATAGGGCGACGTCAACAACTGGTAGAATTTGTCTTTGATGGAGGCTTGAATGTTAAGATCATGCGCATCTCCATCAAAGTAGTGATATTGCTGGCTCCACGACTTTATCGATGACGCTGGATTCACCCCAGCTGCATTAAAAAAAGAAAAAGAAAATGGAAAAGTCCCATTTCAAAAGAACTTTAAAACAATGGCATCTGGCTTTCTCACATGGTTATTCCGGATCTTATATAACTGTAACTTAAAAAGACCTTATAGCCATCTGTTATTGTCTTAAACAGAAAAAAACTTTTAGCTTACTTTAAAATACTGATTTTAGTGGCACAAACCCAAACAAAGAAATGAATGAACTGCCAAAATGATGAACGCATCGATAAAGATGAACCATATTAGATAAAAAAAAAAAGGAATTAAAAAAATTGAGTCATCTAGACACGGTATAAACAGAAATTGTTGGCCTGAAATTTGTCAGCCATGTCAGTCATCATGTTATTTGTCATGTTTTAAAAGTTACGTTTCGATATCACATCGTGTGTTCGAGCAAAAGTGTAAAGTACAAATTTCCCAAGATTGTAAATCTCCTATAGGTTTGTTGCTATTGAAACTTCAAGAGTCTTGATTTGTAGTATGACTTAACAGATCGGACATATCTTGATCTGTTTTTCAATACGATAAGTAGACCTGTGTATAAGACCAAAATGGGACACCCCAATTAATTGGTACTTACTGGTGCTTCAGTGCATATATTGGTACTGCATAAGGTGGTAATTCTAAAAAACTAAGCTCTCAAGCGGTGGCCTGTTCCAGGTTCCAAGATAGTTGGGAAAGCGGATCGAAAAAATTGCGCAAAATCCCGTGGGGGCTTAGGAGAGAGGAGGATATTTTTGCTCGCTCGCTTTTTTACTGCCAGTCGCTCTTTTCGCTCGTCTTCACTGACCGAGAGTCTGGCTAGGACAGGCTACTCAAGAGGACTGGAAAAAAGAATTATTAAGAGCTCTTACCAGTACAGTTTGGCCAGGGTAAAGTCGAATCATAAGGCACGTTGGAGACCGAATAAAAATGCCACTGTCCAGATGAACAGAAGTACAGTAATGGGACGTTAAACTCAAAGTCAGTTCCAGTCTGACACATGACCGCACAAGTATCATCATCACCTTTACGAACGCACGCTAGGGCTCCGTTTTTAGGAGGCGGGTATAAAGGACACAGTTTTTCTGCAAGAAAAACACAACAAAACTTGTTTCCCTTCATTGTTTAGCTTAAAGGTTTAAAACATTGAAAGTTTGGGTATAGAGAAAAACAACAATGTTAACTTAGTTCTGTCCGACTAATGTAGATGAAACAATTTACCGACCACTACCATTTTCCAACGGAATCAAAATGTGAAACAAAAGAAAATCGTCTCTTCAGGGTCAGATCAAGGTATTTTTGTTGAAGGGCGTCCAGCTTGTCCACCTAGTTAAAGCCAATTTTATTCATTCCCTCCCTTTGCGTTATACATTCATGGTTTTTCTAGGCCGTAGACACTCCTCTTGCTTCCGCCCCTCGTTGGAAACGACAAAGGTAGGCCGACTTAACAATTACAGCACTTCAATTCCAGCCTTTGTTTAAGATATGCATTGTTCCTTAGTTTTCTTGTTCATATCTTTACATTGTTTAATAAATGTATTTATATTTAGGCTCTTTTCTCCTATTTTTTACACTTTCATTATTATCGCCATATTGATTTAACTGGTCTAAGCAGAAGAACTGCCTTTTTGATAACATGTCTTGTGTTAAAAATATCAAATGTGCTATTACTGTTTTTCAAAATAGTCTCAATGCCATGAAACTTATTGCACTAAAACTACTCAGATAGAAAAGTGAAACTGACTGGCAACTGAAAGTTTGTATATGATTATTTGCAGTTCGTGAAACAGTGCTGAAAATTTAGTAACGTACGAGTAAAACTTACTTTTCAGCGTTATCGTGAATGAACAATTTCTGTTCTGATTATATGACCGGTCGTTTGCGGTATACACAATTTGATAGGTGCCGGGAACTTCAAATAAATCTCCGCTTTGTCTGTTTGCAGAGAAAAAGACACTTCCCGAATTGTCGGAGAAAACTGGTCTCGTCCACTGTACTCTCACTTCGCTGTATTCCTCTTCTCGGACAATATCTCCTGGACACTGCTTGACGATAGGTGGTTCAATATCTAAAGTAAAATGACATTGTAAAAAGAAAAGGTCAAGATTTTATCGTAGGAGACAAAGGGTATGCGCATACTATTCTCTTCCCCACAGAGACCTTTTTGTGTTGTAGGAAGGTTGGAAAGAAGAGAAAAATAAAAGAAAAATGCGCGAGGGGGTTGGGGAAAAGAAAAAAAGGAAGTGCGCGTGGACCGATGGGAATTTTCATTCTGTTCTCTAAGGCTGCTATAGCATTTTATGGAACAGTGTATAACAGTGTTTAACTACTTCTTCCTCGTTCTGTTAAACATTACAAACCTTTTTATTATAAAGAAGTTGCCAATTGCTTCGTTTTTGTTCAAAACACCGGCTCGCTACTCACAAGATCACGCACTTAGTAAATAGTAGGTACTTTAGGCAAACAGTAGACTACGAGCAGTCTCTCTTTATTCTCCCTGCCAACCCTTCTTAGGTGCATAAAAACTACTAACAGTAAAAAATATCATTTGCATATCATAATTGAAACTATTTACAAACGTATTAATCAATATTCATATAAATCCTTAATCTGTTGCGAAATAAAGTCAGCAATCCTGCGTGTATAACAGTTTAGGCAAGTTATTCCACGCATTAACGATCAGTACAATAGAATCAGTTGACGCTCAATGGTGGACGATGGAGATACCATCAAGAGCTTCTATTCAAAATGCAATGTTGATGAGAAGTATGCTATTAACTGGGCTGCCTCAAGGCACGCCCAGTTTATAAAATAAGTAGATTTTTCCTTAAAAAAAATGAACAATATCAATTATTAACCCAGTAACCCAGAGAGCGTTGCGTGATCCATAGAGCATGTTTGTTCATCTTCGCAGAGTCTGTTTAAAGATTGATTTCCTTCAGTTTAATGCAGCACACGCTTTTTTGGAGGTCTAAATTTCGGATTAGGATGAAGACGATTCGTCCGACGAATCTAAGAACTTTATAGAATTTCGCTCACAAGTTCCTCTCATAGCCTCATGGGCGAGATGGCAAATAAGCGGCGAAGCTTCGAGAATGCAATGGGATCACACCCTCAGAGCTACCCCCTTTAGCAGCAGAAGACCTTCCGATAAAAATTGATTCCAACTAGACAGGAGACTGCTGAAGCAATTGCAGCCATGAAAAGAAACAACAATAAGCAACAGCTTTGGATTGTGCCTTTACTACTGAGGCTCTTCAAGGCGGCAGTGATCATATGCTTGATGCCATTCATGTATTTTGCTCTGAAGTTTATACCTCATTATTACCACCACAATTTTATTAGTTTGCTACCTAAGAAAGGTGACCTCCTACTAATGACAAACTATAGAGGCATTTCCTCGTGTCCAGTGCTGCAAAGGTGTACAATAATATCTTGTTCTGATCACTAGAATTCGACAACATGTAGATCCTATTCTGAGGAAACATCAAGCTGGCTTTAGACCAGGTCGAAGCTGTGCTCAGCAAATCCACACACTGAGAAAAATTATGGGAGGGTTCAAAGAATACCAAATCCCACTTACTGTTATGTTACCTTCGTGGATTTCAAGAAAGCCTTTAATTCCATCAACAGAGCAGCTATGTTAGTCGTAGCACTTCGAAACTACGGTATCCCCAAAACTATACTCAATGTCATACAAGTTCTTCATAGCAAATCCAGCAGTGCTGTAATGGTGGATGGAAGCATCTCCGATGCCTTTGATGTTACAAAAGGAGTCCTTCAAGGCGATTTTTTGGTACCCTTGCTCTTTATCATTCTTGTTCACTACCTTTTGGGTAAGCCATCTGGACCTGATTCCGGAGTGGTAACCTGTTCTCGTCAGTAGAGAAGGTATCCAGCTAAAATGGTGAATGACCTGGACTTCGCTAATGACATGGCCCTCCTAGAATATCACAATATCAATATCACGGGCCCAGTCCCAGTTCACCAGAACTGCTGATGCCGCTTCAGACCTTGGTCTTGTTATCAGTGCACCCAAAACAGAGTTTATGACCATTAACTGTCAGGTAGTCATCATGTTATTTGTCATGTTTTAAAAGTTACGTTTCGATATCACATCGTGTGTTCGAGCAAAAGTGTAAAGTACAAATTTCCCAAGATTGTAAATCTCCTATAGGTTTGTTGCTATTGAAACTTCAAGAGTCTTGATTTGTAGTATGACTCAACAGATCGGACATATCTTGATCTGTTTTTCAATACGATAAGTAGACCTGTGTATAAGACCAAAATGGGACACCCCAATTAATTGGTACTTACTAGTGCTTCAGTGCATATATTGGTACTGCATAAGGTGGTAATTCTAAAAAACTAAGCTCTCAAGCGGTGGCCTGTTCCAGGTTCCAAGATAGTGGGGAAAGCGGATCGAAAAAATTGCGCAAAATCCCGTGGGGGCTTAGGAGAGAGGAGGATATTTTTGCTCGCTCGCTTTTTTACTGCCAGTCGCTCTTTTCCCTCGTCTTCACTGACCGAGAGTCTGGCTAGGACAGGCTACTCAAGAGGACTGGAAAAAAGAATTATTAAGAGCTCTTACCAGTACAGTTTGGCCAGGGTAAAGTCGAATCATAAGGCACGTTTGAGACCGAATAAAAATGCCACTGTCCAGATGAACAGAAGTACAGTAATGGGACGTTAAACTCAAAGTCAGTTCCAGTCTGACACATGACCGCACAAGTATCATCAACACCTTTACGAACGCACGCTAGGGCTCCGTTTTTAGGAGGCGGGTATAAAGGACACAGTTTTTCTGCAAGAAAAACACAACAAAACTTGTTTCCCTTCATTGTTTAGCTTAAAGGTTTAAAACATTGAAAGTTTGGGTATAGAGAAAAACAACAATGTTAACTTAGTTCTGTCCGACTAATGTAGATGAAACAATTTACCGACCACTACCATTTTCCAACGGAATCAAAATGTGAAACAAAAGAAAATCGTCTCTTCAGGGTCAGATCAAGGTATTTTTGTTGAAGGGCGTCCAGCTTGTCCACCTAGTTAAAGCCAATTTTATTCATTCCCTCCCTTTGCGTTATACATTCATGGTTTTTCTAGGCCGTAGACACTCCTCTTGCTTCCGCCCCTCGTTGGAAACGACAAAGGTAGGCCGACTTAACAATTACAGCACTTCAATTCCAGCCTTTGTTTAAGATATGCATTGTTCCTTAGTTTTCTTGTTCATATCTTTACATTGTTTAATAAATGTATTTATATTTAGGCTCTTTTCTCCTATTTTTTACACTTTCATTATTATCGCCATATTGATTTAACTGGTCTAAGCAGAAGAACTGCCTTTTTGATAACATGTCTTGTGTTAAAAATATCAAATGTGCTATTACTGTTTTTCAAAATAGTCTCAATGCCATGAAACTTATTGCACTAAAACTACTCAGATAGAAAAGTGAAACTGACTGGCAACTGAAAGTTTGTATATGATTATTTGCAGTTCGTGAAACAGTGCTGAAAATTTAGTAACGTACGAGTAAAACTTACTTTTCAGCGTTATCGTGAATGAACAATTTCTGTTCTGATTATATGACCGGTCGTTTGCGGTATACACAATTTGATAGGTGCCGGGAACTTCAAATAAATCTCCGCTTTGTCTGTTTGCAGAGAAAAAGACACTTCCCGAATTGTCGGAGAAAACTGGTCTCGTCCACTCTACTCTCACTTCGCTGTATTCCTCTTCTCGGACAATATCTCCTGGACACTGCTTGACGATAGGTGGTTCAATATCTAAAGTAAAATGACATTGTAAAAAAGAAAAGGTCAAGATTTTATCGTAGGAGACAAAGGGTATGCGCATACTATTCTCTTCCCCACAGAGGCCTTTTTGTGTCGTAGGAAGGTTGGAAAGAAGAGAAAAATAAAAGAAAAATGCGCGAGGGGGTTGGGGAAAAGAAAAAAAGGAAGTGCGCGTGGACCGATGGGAATTTTCATTCTGTTTTAGTAAGGCTGCTATAGCATTTTATGGAACAGTGTATAACAGTGTTTAACTACTTCTTCCTCGTTCTGTTAAACATTACAAACCTTTTTATTATAAAGAAGTTGCCAATTGCTTCGTTTTTGTTCAAAACGCCGGCTCGCTACTCACAAGATCACGCACTTAGTAAATAGTAGGTACTTTAGGCAAACAGTAGACTACGAGCAGTCTCTCTTTATTCTCCCTGCCAACCCTTTTTAGGTGCATAAAAACTACTAACAGTAAAAAATATCATTTGCATATCATAATTGAAACTATTTACAAACCTATTAATCAATATTCATATAAATCCTTAATCTGTTGCGAAATAAAGTCAGCAATCCTGCGTGTATAACAGTTTAGGCAAGTTATTCCACGCATTAACGATCAGTACAATAGAATCAGTTGACGCTCAATGGTGGACGATGGAGATACCATCAAGAGCTTCTATTCAAAATGCAATGTTGATGATAAGTATGCTATTAACTGGGCTGCCTCAAGGCACGCCCAGTTTATAAAATAAGTAGATTTTTCCTTAAAAAAAATGAACAATATCAATTATTAACCCAGTAACCCAGAGAGCGTTGCGTGATCCATAGAGCATGTTTGTTCATCTTTGCAGAGTCTGTTTAAAGATTGATTTCCTTCAGTTTAATGCAGCACACGCTTTTTTGGAGGTCTAAATTTCGGATTAGGATGAAGACGATTCGTCCGACGAATCTAAGAACTTTATAGAATTTCGCTCACAAGTTCCTCTCATAGCCTCATGGGCGAGATGGCAAATAAGCGGCGAAGCTTCGAGAATGCAATGGGATCACACCCTCAGAGCTACCCCCTTTAGCAGCAGAAGACCTTCCGATAAAAATTGATTCCAACTAGACAGGAGACTGCTGAAGCAATTGCAGCCATGAAAAGAAACAACAATAAGCAACAGCTTTGGATTGTGCCTTTACTACTGAGGCTCTTCAAGGCGGCAGTGATCATATGCTTGATGCCATTCATGTATTTTGCTCTGAAGTTTATACCTCATTATTATCACCACAATTTTATTAGTTTGCTACCTAAGGAAGGTGACCTCCTACTAATGACAAACTATAGAGGCATTTCCTCGTGTCCAGTGCTGCAAAAGTGTACAATAATATCTTGTTCTGATCACTAGAATTCGACAACATGTAGATCCTATTCTGAGGAAACATCAAGCTGGCTTTAGACCAGGTCGAAGTTGTGCTCAGCAAATCCACGTACTGAGAAAAATTATGGGACGGTTCAAAGAATACCAAATCCCACTTACTGTTATGTTACCTTCGTGGATTTCAAGAAAGCCTTTAATTCCATCAACAGAGCAGCTATGTTAGTCGTAGCACTTCGAAACTACGGCATTCCCAAAACTATACTCAATGTCATACAAGTTCTTCATAGCAAATCCAGCAGTGCTGTAATGGTGGATGGAAGCATCTCCGATGCCTTTGATGTTACAAAAGAAGTCCTTCAGGGCGATTTTTTGGTACCCTTCCTCTTTATCATTCTTTATCATTCTTGTTCACTACCTTTTGGGTAAGCCATCTGGACCTGATTCCGGAGTGGTAACCTGTTCTCGTCAGATCAGTAGAGAAGGTATCCGGCTAAAATGGTGGATGACCTGGACTTCGCTAATGACATCGCCCTCCTAGAATATCACAATATCAATATCACGGGCCCAGTCCCAGTTCACCAGAACTGCTGATGCCGCTTCAGACCTTGGTCTTGTTATCAGTGCACCCAAAACAGAGTTTATGACCATTAACTGTCAGGGGGGGGGGTGGCAGTGGAATCCGTAGCCCCCCCTCCAAACAAAAATTTGTGGGGCAGAGCCCTCCACGTTTTAGTGCCCCTAAAAAACTTTTAAGGCTGTATTTGACAGTACCTGTGAAATCGGCGACTTCAGAGCGCACATTTTCTGCCCTCAGACGACTCGAGAGATCTCAAGAACTACCTGAGAAGCACCATGAAGCAGGACCGCCTACACAACTGCGGACTGATGCACTGTCACAAATCGATCACGGACATACTAGACACTGTCAAGATTACAAAGAGGTTTACGAACACACAAAAAACACGAAAACACAATGATGCCATAAGTCATACAAAGCATGCCCTATAATAGAAGCTCTTTCGAAATTGGAGAAAAAAATCTCCATTTTCAAAAAATATCCTGATACGAGTGGAAGAGGCCTGAAGTTTTTCACTTTTTATCTATTAACCTTCAATGTAAACGCTAAATCTGCATATTGCTGTATTTCCATTGTTGTCACTAGCAGCAACCTGAACGTCATTTTCACCAATAGGAAATTCTTGAGATGAGGCTACATTTATCTTCGCATTGGGATCCACATTTGCAGAATTGTCTGTCACCTGGATATTCCATGATACCTTTCCTGTCGCTTTTCCTTTGGTTGTATGACCTCTTATGTCAGGACACGTTATCGTTGGGGGCTGATAATCTATAAATTAGACAAATTTAATTCGTAAATATATTTAGTTGAAAAAAAAGGCGTTTCTGCAAACAAAGGACAAAGTATGTGGCTAAAATGGATACTGAGTCCTAAATTCTCCACTTGACCAGTGTAAGTTGACAGCCTAGATTCTAAAAACAATTAACAGCATTGCTCAGAGTAGACGACAATCAGTACCTATTTTGACCTGTTTTTCTCAGTCATTTGAGGGAAACGCGCGAGATACGAAAATAAACACGCGCGTGACTGACTTCTCGGGCTTCCTTCTTTAGTTTCTAGCGTCTCGCTGCTTTGCCGCTTAACGCTCGCACGCGCGTGCACTACCCTCCCTAAATCTGAAGAAAAAGATAAACTGCCTCACAGTCTATACTTGCTCAAAGTTAATGGATAGTCACATGAACTAAAATAATCATGATCCTGATTTCATAAAAAAATGAAGTCTTTTATTGAAATTGACTAATTAGTGGTGCATGTCATTGCCCTGTGTTCTTTGAAGTGAAGTTCTGTTTGCTCACCTTTCCTTGTTTGAATCAAACTGGTGCCAGCGTTTATTGCATGAAATTTCTTTTTTTACAAAGTTTTAATTGTCCATGTTCATTTTTAGTTTGAAGCACCGGCTGGAAGTTTTAAATCCATTGATATCAAGCCCTTTTTTTCATATTTACAAGGGGGACCTATTTGTAAAACAGGTTGGGCTTCCACTATTTCTAGCATTTCTTACTGAACAAGCGAAAAAATTGATTATATAAGAAACCAAAAAAAGACGAAATTTTTACTTTTAAATTTCAAGCGCGGATAACTGATTTGAATAGTACTATCCAATTTTGGTATCCAGTGAATGTATGCTTTTCTCTGGATAGAGCGATTTTCGTATAACCTTGAAAAATGGTTTCGGAAATTGTTCGTTATCTGTTTTTAGTTTATCAGCCAATGGATGAAAAAATCAAAATATGGCTTCTTCGTTTTCCCGCCAAAGAAAATCCTAACATGGAGGAGGCATTGGTAGATTAGCCAATCGGGTTGCAGTATGACGTTAAAGCGAAGTATCTGTTGATTTCTAGAAAGTTCTCGGGCATGAGGTTTTTTCACCCGAGCGTTCGCTTTACCAACCAAAAGACATGCGCGTTTTTATCCGTTCGATAAACCAACCAAATCGCTCTACTTTCGATCGTTTGTCGTTTCTGTTTTGTTCTCTCGTTTTCATTTCAAGGTCATACGAAAATCCCTCTAATTTTGGCAAAAACCTCAAACAAAAAGCGGAAAACGCTTGCCATGGCATTGAGGAACTTGAGCGTCCCATTCGCCATTAAGTTGACACGTTAAAACTCTCGAAGCTATGTGGGGTGCAGTAACTTCCGTAGTAAAGCCATCTGGACATGAAAATGTGCAGGATGAGTAAAATCTCATTGACTGGTCGCCACAGATATTTGGAACCACTGTTGCGTACTTGACGGACGGAAGTTTAGGGCAGCGAATTTCTAAAAATGAAAACAAATAAAATAATTTGCTTGAAAGAATAAAGATTCGGCTGTCAGGACGTGAACAGATCGACGATAATGCCTCTGGTGGTGCTCATAGCAACGGTTTAAACATTTATGACAGTTCTTGATTTATATTAGATATGATT